CCTCTTTCCTCCCCTCCCATCACTTCCCTCTACCTAATCTAAGGAAACGCTCTTCTTCCCTAGTGCCCCGCACCGTATTGTGAATTAGCATTTGCCTATTAGAGAAAACATTCGGCCTTTGGTTTTGTTGGATTGGCTTATTTCACTTAGCATATTCTCCACCTCCAACCATTTACTGGCAGATGCCATAATTTTGCTAGTGGGACTGCAAATTGGTGCAACTACTATGGAAAGCAGTATGGAGATTCCTCAGAAAACTGGGAATAGAACTACCATTTGACCCAGCTATCCTACTCATTGTTTTATACCCAAAAGACTTAAAATCAGCCTACTATAGTGACGCACACACATCAATTTTTACAGCAGCTCAATTCACAATAGCTAGACTATGGAACAAACCTAGGTGTCCCTCAATAGATAAATGGATAATGAAAATGTGGGATATATAATCTTTTACCACTTCTATTTAGTTCTTGAAACTCTAGCCATAGCAATGAGACAGATGAAAGAAATTAAAGAGATACACATAGGAAAAGAATTCAAACTATCACTATTTGCTGATGACATGATTCCATACCTAGAGGATCCAAAAAATTCCACCAGAAAACATCCAGAACCAATAAATGAATTCAATGAAGTATCACCCATAAATAAATCAACACCCATAAATCAAAGGCATTTCTATACATCAGTGACAAATCCTCTGAAAGAGAAACTAAGAGAACTACCCCATTTACAATAACTTCAAAAAATAAAATTAAAAACTTGGGAACCAACTGAACGGAAGAGGTGAAAGACCTCTACAATGAAAACTATAGAATACTCAAGAAAGAAATTAAAGACGACCTAAGAAGATGGAAAGATCCTCCTTGTTCTTGAATAGGCAGAATTAATATTGTCAAAATAATCATACTACCAAAAGCACTATACAGATTTAATGCAATTCCAATCAAAATCCCAATGACATTCCTCATAGAAATAGAAAAAGCAGTCATAAAACTCATCTGGAAAAATAAGAGACCTAGAATAGCCAAAGCAATCCTTAGCAAGAAGAATGAATCAGATTGCATCATGCCACACCTTAAACTATACTACAAAGCTGTAGTAACAAAAACAACATGTTATTGGCACCAAAATAGACTTGTAGACTAATGGTACAGAATAGAGGACACAGAGACAACCACCTAAATACAGTTACCTCATACTAGACAAAGGTGCCAAAAACACATATTGGAAAAAAGATAGCCTCTTCAACAAATGGTGCTGGGAAAACTGGAAATCCATATGCATCATAATGAATTAAGCCCCTATCTCTCACCACGCACATAACTCAACTCAAAGCTGATCAAGGACCTAGGAATTAGACCAGAGACCCTGTACCTAATGAAGAAAAAGTAGGCCCAAATCTTCATCATGTCAGATTAGGCCTAAACTATCTTAACAAGACTCCTTTAGTGCAAGAAATAAAATCAAGAATTAATAAATGGGAGGGATTCAAACTGAAAAGTTTCTTTACAGCAAAAGACACAGTGAGGTGAAGAGACAGCTTACAGAATGGGAGCAAATTTTTACCACATGCACATCAGATAGAGCACTAATTTCTAGGGTACATATAAAGAACTCAAAAAAACTTATCAATAATAATAATAATAACAACAACAACAACCCAATCAATAAATGGGCTAAGGAACTGAACAGACACTTCTCAGAAGATGATTAACAAATTTATGGAAAAATGTTCAATATCTCTAGCAATTGAAGAATGCAAATGAAAACTACTCTAAGATTTTATCTCACTCCAGTCAGAATGGCCGCTAGAGGATGTGGGGGAAAAGGCACAATCATACATTGGTGGTAGGACTGCAAATCAGTGCAACCAATCTGGAAAGCAATATGGAGATTCCTTGGCAAACTTGAGATAGAACCACCATTTGACCCAGCTATCCCACTCCTTGGTTTATAGCCAAAGACTTAAAAACAGCATACTTCAGTGATGCAGTCACATCAATATATATAGCAGCACAATTCAAAATAGCTAAATTGTGGAATGAACCTAGATGCCCTTCGGTAGATGAATGGATAAAGAAACTGAGGTATGTATACACAGTGAAATATTACTCAGCATTAAAACAGAATAAAATCATAGTATTTGCAGGTAAATGGATAGAGTTAGAGAACATTATGCTAAGTGAAGTAAGCCAATCCCAAAAAACCAAAGGCCAAATGTTTTCTCTGATATGTGGATGCCGATACATAAGTGGGGTGAGGGGGAGCGTGGGAAGCATGGAGGAACTTTGGAGAGGGAAAAGGGGAAGGAGAAGGGAGGGGGCATGGGGGTAGGAAAGATGGTGGAATGAGATGGACATCATTACCCTAAGTACACGTATGAAGACACAAATAGTATGAATCTACTTTGTGTACAACCAGAGAAATGAAAAACTGTGCAATATATGTGCACTATGGATTGATATGCATCCTGCTGTAATGTATAACAAATTAGAATATATAAATTTTAAAAAATAAAATAAAAACAAAAAAGAAAAAATGTTCTCTAAACAAATGCAATTTTGAAAACATAATTGTGACCAATTGTTGAGAATTATTAAGCAGTACTGAATAAACCACTAATATAAATATATTTTTAAAAGTTGAAGTTAGTAAATATTCTAAAAACACTTCTTCAGGTTACATTTATTTTTTTTTAGTTATAGATGGACAAATACCTTTATTTTGTTTGTTTATTTTTTTATGTGGTGCTGAGGATGAAACCCAGGGCCCCCGCATGTGCTGAGCCAGCGCTCTACTGCTGAGCCACAACCTCAGCTCTTCAGGTTACATTTAAAAAGATGTTTACATTTTTCCTTTATAAAGCATGAAATAAAGATCCATGATCATATCTATTTATTTATTTTTGTTTGTTTGTTTGTAGATGGACACAATAACTTTATTTTATTTGTTTATTTTTATGTGGTTCCGGGAATCAAACCCAGTGCCTCATGCATGCTAGGCAAGCACTCTACCACTGAGCCACAACCCGGGCCTCCATGATCATTTTTAAATAATTTAAATAATAATTTAAATAATTTAAATGATGTGTCTTGAAAGGTTATGTAGCTGAAAATCTCTAATTATATATGTGAACTTCTTTTTTTGAGGAGCTCTCAGTACTAAAGCTGTGAAGAGAAACTGAGGAGGGAGCAATAAAGAGGACACAAGGGTGAAGCCATGAATGAGGACCTCAGGCTTACTGGCTGGACCCCGTTAATCCAGGGTCATGGTGGTGTAACACAGCCTGAACACTATGCTCCTCTGTAATTTTCTTAACTCTCATGTGAGTTTAAGGTGATAGTTCGCAAACATGGAAGCACAGGTGTAACTGCAGAGCTTGTTCAAAAACACAAATCTCATACTTAGGGTATCCCATATCTGAATTTTCAACTAGCTTCTCAAGGCATTAGAAATCTTACTCTGTAGGGATGCTAATTCTAGGTGAATTTCATGCAAACTTGGCTTCAAGAAATTCCATTAATTTACCCTAAGGATTATAAATCAGAAAATAAAATTGTGTAAGTTGAGCTGTAGTTTGATGATTTGAAGTGAAGCTTTATATCAATAAGAACTAATTGTGCTTGAAGCCAATTTTTAAGGAGCCCTGGGTTGTACACTGCCACCCCCCCCCGCCACCTCCCACCCCCACCACACACAATTGCTTAAATTCACTGAATAACATTAGATCCTCTTTGGTGTAGGTATATTCCAGCTTACTAACTTGTGATTTATATTTGTTTTAATTGGATTTTGTTTTCATTTACTTTAAAAGACATGAGAAATGACCAAGTGAGAGCTACTTGGTTAATCTGCTTACTTTCCAAATTAGAATAGAGTTGCTTGAAACATAATGTAATAAGACATTTTTTTCCTTGAGAAAAACAATAATAAAATAACAAATAAATAAAGGAAAGATTTCCATTGTCCAGAGCTATCTCTTTCCCAACCTTCCATAGGGGGAATAAAACCCAGGGACCCTTTACCACTGAGATTCATTCCCAACTCTTTTTTTTTTTTTTTTTTTTTTATATAATTTTGAGACAGGGTCTAAGTTGCAGAGGCTGGCCTCAACTTGTGATCTTCCTACTTTGGCCTCACAAATCACTGGAATTATAGAAATGTGCTACTGTGCACACTTTGAGCTGTAATCTTTAAAGAATGGGGAACAAAGAAGTCAGACATGGTTATGAACATGGCCAATGTGAACACAGAGAAGCAGAAGTGGAATAGGACAAGGGAGGCCAGGAACGACATGGGGGTATTTCTTGCCAGGGACAGACACACTAGATAACTTCTGTGACATGGTCTCCTGTGGTCTGTTTTGAGGGTACACTGGAGGATTCTGTCCTAATTGCAAGGCAGGTTCTCTAATTCTACAGAGATTTAAAATAGGAGAAATAGATAAAAATGGCTAAATGTTCGATAAAATAGTATTGATGAGAAGTAGCTGAAGACAATGCAAATTGGCTATTACATTGAGTATAAATTTGGAAATTCTAATTGGGTCAGTTTGGGTTTCTGTGGTTCAAGTCAGTCAATCTCTTTGAGGCTGCATTATCTTCTCAGTAAATTGGGCAAAACAGCATCTGTGAAAGGAGATATTAAATATTAAATACGAAGGTCTTACAAATGGTGCTACAGTCTCTATTGTCATCATTGCTGTTATCACTATTTTTTTTTTTTTGATACCAGGGATTGAACTCAGGGGTACTCAACCACTGAGCCACATCTCCAGTCCTTTTTTGTATTTTATTTAGAGACAGGGTCTTAGCACCTCACTAAGTTGCTGAGGCTGGCTTTGAACTCATGATCCTCTTGCCTCAGCTTCCTGAGCTGCTGGGATTGCAGGCATGTGTCACCATGCCTGGTTTATCACTGCTATTTTAAATTACAGTTTCTTTTGGTTCAGCTGCACTTAGAGCACAGCTCAGTTATAAACCATCAGTACTCACCAATGAAGATCTGGCTGTTGAGCTGCAAGAGGAGGTGCCCACCAGTGGGGGCAGGTTGAAACTTTTGAGGGAGCTGATCCACTTGGAGAGATGCTTCTTTAACATTTCTTTCTGCCTTCACGTGATGCCATCGGTTGTCATTAAAGGGAGTGGGTGACTGTACTGTGACTTCACAAGGACCATTCCCCACATCAAAGGAAAAGGTCACTTCTGTGGGAGCTGGAAATTGTAGATATGAAAGTTTCTCAAGTTAATTCAAAAGGGAGAAAATGTAATCCTGAGTGGACATGAAAACAGTATTGTGGTATGCTCATAATGAATAGGGCAGTGATGCAGGAAAGAATTACTTAGTGTTGGTTAGGAGGGAAAAATAAATTTGAATCCTGGATAAAGAAAAACAAAACTGATTTTAATACATTCTTTCTCAGAGTTTGTTATGGTTGAGATATGAGATGTCCCCCAAAAGCTCATATGTGAATCAATACAAAAGGGTTTAGAGGTGCACTGATTGGGTTATGAGAGCCTTAACCTAATCAATGTGTTAATCCATTAATAGGAATTAACTTGTTGGCAACAGTAGGCAGATAAGATGTGGCTGGAGGAGGAAGGTCCCTGAGGACATGCTTTTGGGGTTTATATTTTGTTCTTGGTAAGTACAGCTCACTCTCTCTGCTTCCTGGTGCCAGGTCCTGAGCTGCTTTCCTTCTCCACACTCTTAGGCCATTATGTTCTGTCTCAACTCAGGCCTCAAGGAATGGAGTTGGCCATCTATAGACAGAGACCTCTGAAACCATGAGCCTCCAAATAAACTTTTCCTCCTCTAATTGTTCTTATCAGGTCTTTTGGTTACAACAGTGAAAAAGCTGACTAAACCAGAGTTTAATTGCTCATCTTGCTAAGCTCTAACTAGCAGACATTTACCTATTGAAAGAAATCTAGCATGTGATCTGGCTTCATATAAATGATTTTGATTAAAGGTGATTTAAAACTTCATATAATTTAAAAAATCGTAAGTGAAATCTTTGACCATAAGAAATAAAGATTTGCACACGTGATTAAATAATGTGAGCAGTCAATTCAGTCAAATAATTTTTAATTTAGTAGAAATTAGTTATTTGACCAGTCTGGTTTAATCTCCTGACTGCACACAGAAGTAAAGTAGCACCAAACCATTATAATCTGTTGTATATCTCAGGAGATGTTGTTTCACTCTCTACCTGCTATAGTTTGGATGAGTAATTCCCCAAAGGCTCAGGTGTTATTAAAGTCTTGGTCCTCAGGGTGGTGCTATTGGGAAGTGGAACCTTTGGAAGGCAGGACCTTCCAGGAAGGTCTTTAGGTAATTGAGAGGGCATGGCCTTGAAGAGGATTGTGGGGCCTTAGCCCTTTCCTCTTTCTCTTTTTTTCCTGGCTCAGGGGTAAGCACATGCTCCCATGATGACATACTGCCCTCACTAGAGGTCCAACACTATGTAGCCACTCTATTTTGGGCTGAAACCTCTAGAACCATGAGCCAAAATAAACCTTTCTAAGTTAACTGCCTTAGATATTTTGTTATAAGGATAGAATGCTGAGTTCTTTAAGATAAAAGAATTTTTTTAAAATAATAGAATTTTGGTATTTATAAAAATATACTTGATAAGGAAGCATGGCAGCAGATTAGGAATGAGAATACTAAAGGGTTTATTGCTCATTACTGAGCATTCTGTGGCTTTGTCTCAGTGGCAACTCACCGCGCAGTTCTAGTCTGATAAAGTCTGTGATACCCAGGTTCTCTACAAACACCCCAGAAGAAGCTGTTGTCTTAAAAAAGAAAGACACATCAGCACTGAGCTCTCCATGGAATGCAGGGAAATGAAGATACGAAGTCTCAGTATTGAATGAAGCTGAATTCCAAAATGAATCTGTTTATTAAAAAAAAAGAGTGAAAGTAATAGTGAAACAAAACAATAATTGCATTTTATGTGTCTAGCATTTATTTTTACTATTAAATGCATTACTCATCTAAGGAAGTCTTCATTTTGAGGTTCTTCTAGACATGAAGCCATGATATGAATATCCAAATGGTGATTACTTGGATCATTAAGATTCTGGACATGGATAACTGAGTAGAATCACTATGGAAATGGTCTGTGTTTTTAAACACAATTTTACTTTTAATTTAAGGAGTTAAAAATGACTCTTGATTTTGATTTTAATCTGCATTGATTTGTGTAACTTTTACCAAAATTGAGAGATCTCCCTCTTGATATCCCCCTAAACTCACATCCTTTCTTCCTCATCCCTTTATAGTTTGCCTTTTCTAAAGGTCGTATAAAGAGTGATGCACTTTTTAACATTTCAAGATTGGCTCCTTTCACTCAGTATAATGGCTTTGAGATCCACTCACATTGTTGTACATATAAATATCTGCTTTTTCCTCCTACTGACTTCTCTAATGTAGATATGCTATAGTTTGACCAAACTGAAGAACATTGAGCATCATTTCCAGATTTGGGAATAGAGCTGCTATAATATTTGTGTACAGTTTTTCGGGTGAACATAAGTTTTCATTTCTCTAGGTTAGTAAATACCCAGCATGGAATTTCTGGATCATATGGTAGGTATGTATTTAACTCTAAAGCAAACTGCCAAATAGTTTTCTAGAGTGGCTGTACATTTGTCATTTCCATCAACAATGTATGAGTATTTTTACATCCTCCCACAGCACTTGGCATTAGAAGTTTTTGTTTGTTTTTTGGCAATTCACATTGGTGTGTTGTGGTATCAATTTGCCTTTCCTAATGGCTGATGTTGTAGAACGTCTTCTCATGTACATCTGTGCTATCCTTACATCGTTTTTGATGAAGTGTGTCCTCAGTTTGGGGAGAATCAACATCTTTCCTATATTGAGTTTTCCAATCATGGACACAGTGTATGTGTCTCCTCTTATTTATATTTTCTTGATTTTTGCCTTCAGTCTTTTATAGATTTCAAGTAAACATGTTTTGTTGCATGTCAGTAGGGTATGTGTGTGTGTGTGTGTGTGTGTGTGTTTAAATTCCTTGAGATTTTCTGTGAAAACAGTCATATAATACACACACACATACACACACACACACACACACACACACACACATATATATATATATATA